TATTATTCAAATCCTTTAATTTTGGACAGTAATTAGTCTAATTTTCCCAATTTATATTAGGCTGAAAAACAAATAGCCCAAGGCCCCAAGTGCCCAGCCCAATTACAAAAAACTGCTGGGCTGGGCCTTTGTATAATTAATTACTGGGCCAATTAAAAAACAGTTGGTCTGGCAGCAACGGCCCAACTCATTACAAAACTTCAAAAAAAAAAAAGAAGAAGAAGAAGAAGAAATTGGGGAGGAAGAAGATGAACGTGTATCAAACCAGGCGCGCCGGCGACAGTCTCCTCCTTCCCAAAAATCTTCCTCCGGAACCCAGCACGGGAGGCCGCCCCCCCTGTCCGGGTGCTAGGTCCGCCACTGTGTCGAATGATTCCTACTCATTTCCACATTAAAGATTGTGCTTTTGTCTATTGCAGCTTCAAATATAAATAGGGCTTTCAGGCAAGAGGGATTCATGCAAATTCTCTTGATAAATAAGAATGGCTACTTCACATTTTCTCACCTTTCTCCTACTTTCTCACTTGGCCTTTCCTCTTAGCTTCACTTCATTTGTATCAATTCAAGTCTCCGTCATTCATTTCTTCTTCTGTTCAAATCAAATTCTGGTCGGAAAATGTGCAAAACCAAATCCCGAAATCTATCTTCAAAAAACTATCCCCATTAACAAAAGGGGATTGCCATTTTTACTCTCACATTCTAAACTGTATTGTTCATATGAATATGATGATTTCAAGGGATAAAAGATTCATGTAAGCCTCCATTGTCTTCTCAATCCAATATGGGGGAAGGATTTTCTTTCTTCAGAATCTCAAACCTCACATAAGGAAATAAATTCCATGTCTTAGATTTAGAAGAAAAAAATGCCGAATCGAGCATGTTTCCCTGATGAATTAGCATCATTTATTTCTATAACCTCAAGAGACATAAAAAATAATAATTTCCCAAGCCCTTCCAACTATCAAAAAATTCATCGAAACAACTTTCTCTTGTTGGATTGCAGAAGCTATGAAGGAANTTGGATTGCAGAAGCTATGAAGGAAGAAATAAAAAATTGCCCAAAATCTCTTGAAGAAATGATCAGTTTCTCAAAGTTTGCAATAGGCAAAAAAAAAAAAAAAAGTTACTTTCACATGCTTCACAAAGCACGAGTGATTTCTTGAAAAAATGATCAAGAAATTTGATAGGCAAAAATTTATTGGCATGTCATGAAGTTTACCTTCCCTATGCATTCTATTTCTGTCATCTAATGCCTTCGCCTCAAATTTGTGGACTTGGTGGAACCCAAGACTCGACCATGAGTTAAAATTGTGATTGCAATGTCACATGGATACCGATACATGTGTAGCTCTTAAGATATTGCATGTCACTAGATGTCGAACACTAAATCTCGCATGGATTGCCATTGATCATTACACATTGTCATTGATCATAACTAGTATTTTGAATAATTACGATTTTTTTTTCATTGCACATTAGAGTAAACTCGATGGCATGATTTGTAAAAAATACTAGTTAAAAGACGGGCGTTACAAGGAAGGTCCCTATAAAGATGCGTTCGATAGAATTTTTCATTTTTATTTTTTAATTTTATGTAAGTATATCAAAGCTTCATGGGCATAATTATTTGCAAATGGTCTGAGGCAACTGGGCAAACAAGAGTTGACCCATATTTGATTTGGCCAAAAAAATTATTAAAATTTAAATTAAAGTATTCGTAACAATTAATTTTAATAATATATTTCATGAAATTGACAAATTATATATTTCATTACGTTTTATTAAAATTTATTATTATTTAATCAAAGTCCTTTTTAGCACTCCATTAAATCCAATACATTTTTCACTGTTAATTTCAATTACACATTTTTCAATAAAATAATATTAAACATAAATAAAATAATTTTTTTAATCATACATTTTTTAAAAATTATTATTACAAAATACTTTTTTTTTCTTTCCAAAAGTTAATTATAGAAATTACATTAACCTGCCAGGCTAAGGTAAATCGCAGTTGCAACACCGAGCG